CTGCTCGAACTTCAGATTGGGCTCGCAAAGAACGTGGCAGACGAACTGCGAAGAGCCCTCAGCGAGGGTAAGAGGTACCTCAAAACCCAGTTTCAGAGTCACTGCCAGGAAGATGAGAGCGAATGTCCCGACCACTGTCGTAAGTTTGGTCTCAGCGATCCAAACGATCCAGATTTCCAGGAACAATGCTCACATCAACACACGCTTCTCTGCTCTCAATGCGACGAAATTACTTCCGTTTTGCAGAAGATGCAACAGATTGTTAATGATAACAAAACCTTAGTTTTTTACAGCGAGGACCAAAAAAATTACTTGTTGTACGATATCCAGAAATCTTCGGAAGCTGTCGTTCAGTGGAAAGCTCAGATTATGAGGTCCGTGAATCAGGAATGCGCAAAGCAAGATATCATCGCAAAGCTTAGCCAGACTTTGTGTCTTCTTGTTATAGATTGGGCCATGAAGTTTCTGCAGCTGCGCTATAGAGAGAAGCAAAGTGACTGGTACGGAGAAAGAGGGTTAAGTTGGCACATTAGTAACGTCGTGTCTCAAAGCCAGTCTAACACGACGGAAGTCATCTCATACGCTCATCTCTTTGATCAGTGTACTCAGGACTGGTATGCAGTTACGTCAGTTCTCGAAGATCTTCTATAGCAGCTGAAAGTCAAGAATCTTTTGCTGCAGAAAGTTCATCTGAGGTCAGATGAAGCCAGTTGCTATCATAACAGCTTCCTAGTAACCGCTGTGAGAGATGTCGCAAAAGGAGTTGGGGTTGAAGTTCATAGCTATCACTACACAGAGCCGCAGTCTGGTAAAGACATTTGCGATCGTATCCTCTGCCCAATGAAGTCCTCTATTCGCGCTTACTGCAACGAAGGGCGCGATGTTTTAACTGCCGTGGACATGAGAGATGCACTGACGCAACACCCAGTGAATGGAACAACCGCTGCAGTTAGCATAGTCGACGAATCAAAGAACACTCTCTGTATAAATAAGATTGAGCATGTCAGTAGCTTCCGCAACTTCAAATATGGAGACGCCGGTCTGAGAGTTTGTAAATGTTATGGCATCGGTAAAGGGAAGTACATCCCATATGACGTGATTTATATCAAGCACCAAGGTGAAACGTCCCTTCAAGCCATGGAATCTCAAGGCTTTATGATCCTCCTGAAAAGCGTGTGGTCAAGCGTTGTTCAAAGGACAGCAAGGAAACAGAGAGTACAACGCCATTGTTTGAATGCTTCGTGCTTGGGTGTGTTGAGGTGTTCGAAACGTTTTCGCAACTAGAGCTCCACCTGGACGTTAGAAAGCATACAGTCAGCAGGTTAAGCCAGTATGATG